GCTTGGACTTGGTCCGTGGCTTGGGCGGGTCGGGTTTGATCTCCGGCATGCTGGCGGCTCGTTGGAGAGGAGAGGTGGAGAATTTGGGGAGTGGCGGAGGCGGAGGGGGGAGGTTGTCGACGAAAGGCGGCGGGGCGGGGACACCGACGCCGGCTGCGGAGGCTAAATTGGGCTGGTGTGCCGGGATTTGGGCCGGGTGCGGGGCCACGATTTCACCCTGGGCGTAGTCGCTTAAGGCGGCGCCGGTGTTCTTGAGGTAGATGGCGTAGGAAGAGTGGGCCGCCGCGAAGGCGTTGCGAGACGTCACCGATTCCTTCATGAACTGCTTCCGCTCTTTGCATCGGGATACTGCTTCTTCGTTCTCGATCTTCGACTGGGTGCAGCCCATGTTCGCTATTCAGCTGAAAACGCAGAATTGGGCTTGTAAGAACGAAGATGAGAGATGGAGATTTAGAGAGAGAGAGAGAGAGAGTGTGAAGGGTTGAAGAAGAAGCTTTTTTTGGTTAAGTTGAAGAAGAAGCTTGGAGCTTTTACTTTCGAGTCTGCGTCTGTGTCTGTCTGTCGTGTTCTCTCTGCGTTGGATTGGGAAAGAATAATGAGAAAAAAGGGAAATGGGGAGACACTGTAGAGGATTCGGTGCTCAGGACAATAGAAACGGCGTCGTTCAGTGCTTGTTTAATTTTTTATTTTATTCCCATTTTTTTATTTTTTAATTTTTAATTTTGGTATTTTGGAGTGAGGAAAGGATCCAAAGAGAGGAGGGGACAAGGAAAAGAGGTGTTGGGATTGGAGTCTGGGGTTTTCCAGATTACCAGTTGATTACACAAAATTAAGAGAGGTTAAAAAGGTCAAACTCATAAGTTGGTGCAGCAATAAAAAAATAAAATTAACCCTAACCTAAGCTAAATCAACCGTTTGGTTAAATGTTTTACATTAAAAGAAGTGTAATTTTGAACAAATTCGAACCAAATATCAATCAGTTTGATTAACTTGTTTGGCACTCAAGATTTACTTTAACTTTTTCTTCAACATAAGAAATATTATTTACGGCATGAACTGAAGGTACTAGATCCCTACTTTAAAAAAGGTAGTTTTCTTTAATTTGAGTTTGAGCATCCTTACTTACGAGTGATGGGCACTAGCTTGCATCTGGTGTTTCAATTTCAAGTGTTTTGGTTTCTATTTCTTCACTTCCCCCCCCCCCCCTAGTCGTTGGGTTGATGAGGCTTTTCTTACGAAACTGTTTTTTGACACTCCAAAATGTTGATCATGCACTCACCAGTTATGTTTTTGTTAGGGCTGGACTTGGTTTGATTGATTCGGTTTTATTACCGAAACTCCAAAAAATACAAAACCCAAAGCCAAACTGGGCCGACTGGTTCGGTTTGGCCGGTTTTCAGCTCCATATACGCCCAGCCCTAGTTTTTATAAACAAATATGAACTTTAGCTTATTTCTAAAAGCCCCTATTACGAAAAAGGTGAAAACAACCAATTAGCAACCTTTGGTGACTATATGGATGGACTTTACAAGAAGAAGGCTTACAAGAATCCAGTCTCAAGTGTTTATAATTTTGTTTTGTTATACTTAATCTGCCAAAGCTCAACATCAGTTCCTCTATCATACTCCCTCACATACTGAGGAATCTGTGTAATGTCTATGCATTTTCCCACAAAGCAAGGCATTGAACCACATTCAAGGGCTTCATAATCTGCATCTTCCACTGAAAACCAAGTATAAGCCGTAAAGATAAAGCCAAAAAAAAACAGAAAAAATGAAGTAACAAGCTCATGATATGTATGGGTGCATCTTGATACATGTACAAGCTTACCCCCCTCTAACCGCAAAAACCTTAGGAAATGCGAGTAACCATTTGCAACAACATTGAGATCATCAAGACTGAAGTTGTAGCGTTTTTCCAATGCCAAGTACAACACCTGAGAAACAAAAAGCTAACTGCCATTTACTTGATCAACATATAATGGATGAAAAGGAGTTTCTGAAAAAGATGAGGGGCTGTCGAAAATATGGGAATGTAGTCATCACCCTCATTGACACCTATTCTAATCATGATCAAGCTCACTTTATGTACCCATGTAATGGTTGCAAATCCTAAACTTTTAATATATTAAAGGCAAAGAAAAAAGGCAAACAGGACAAATTCTCGGAATTCTATCACCCATGATACTTCTATTCTCCATCCCCGGAAATCTAAGATTTTGGTTTGTACGTACCTTTTCTGAACCTGAAGACATTAATCTCTGTAAAGTGCTGAAAAATGTATCTGTCAGGTCATCGCTGTAGATTACATCTGCAGCTACAAGCAAAGAAGCTTCCTGGGCTGCTTCGACTTCTGAAAAGGTCCAAGAATACCTAGGCAACATCATTAAAAACTGATTTATGTTTGCCAATAAATGATGTTAGGATATAACAAATAGTGTTAACTGTTAAGCTACATGATAGAGAATAAACCCAGCAAAGGGAATGCACTAGCAACGCGATAAGGAATTATCCAAAATGAATATGTTCTTGATACCAACAAAATTCTGCTAGTTTCTACAAGCAATCAAAGTAGATAGGTAATTTTCACCTTTTACCCTGGGAGGATTCTTCTAGGGTCATTCTTGGGGGCCAGGGTTTCATCCAATCAAGTTCACGTACATGAACTGTAGCTCGATGACTGAACAGTTCAGAATTGAGGTCGACATTCTTAGCACAGTTGTCAAGGACCTCAATCCCATGGTCTGACACAGAAGGCAACCTTATATTAATCACAAGTTTGAGTTGTATGACTCAAATAAGTAAATCCAACATAACTATTCATGGAACTCATTAGTAAAAATCATATAATTCATTGAAAACATCAACTTTGATTCCAAAAACCTAGTAACATACACTGAAATGATCAAGCACCCCTTAAAAAGACATTTCTTCAAACCCTTGTTTGGAAAATACAATTAGAAAAACTTTCAAGGAACAAAAGGACATGAAACAATATAAGTGCAAGGCCACTGTACCTGTTATAAAGACTGTTTTAGCAACACGTGCAAGTAATACACCCACCAACCCTGGTAAAGATAATGAATTCAAATTCCTGTCACTGAACATGTAGTGATGTCTCAAATGATGGTCGTAAAAATCTTGAAAGGATAATGAACTTGTAGCATTGATTCCCAAAACTGTTCGGTGGTATTTTCAGAAACAATCATGGTCAGATTTCTAACATTAGAGTGTTTTCCTCCCCCAAACTACAGTTCTCGAAAAATCATGTCGCTTTTTCTTCATAATTTTCTAATTACATTTGAATTTTCACATTTTAAAATTCCTATGGTATAGTTCAGCTATCCAAAATTTGAGGAATATATCATCTCTAGAATGCACGAATAAGCATCGAGTTAATTTAGAATGAATGCTAATGAATCAATGATCAACTGTAAGGAGCCAATTCCAGGACAGATAAAATATAATCAGTTAAAATAAAGGCAGTACTAATGATTATTGTACCTGTACCAGCACCAAGTTCTAATGCAACAATTCCATCAAGTTCAGATGATGTAAACATCTTATGCAGCAAAAAATCAGATAATACAAGTTCTGCCCTCCACACCTGCGGGGGCAAAATGAGATTAGCTATGGATGCATTGCAAATAAACCAAACTTATAAGCTAAAATTAAAAACCAACATCACAAAATTTACTTGCAAACCGACGCTTGGAATTGATGATGTGATATTATGCTGGATGCTCACACTAGAACTCTGAGTAGATGATTCTGCACATTTTTGTGAAGAAAAAAACAACACAAAACCCCCAAATGATCTTAAAAAATGAAATACATTCTTCTTATATTGATAAAAAATCATCGTAAAAAACGAAATATGGTCTTTATTGTGTAAGAATTGCTGGCTTTGGTTAAGGGATAAAATGCAAAACAAATCAACCAGCACAAATGCACATGCCCATTCTAATGTACAGCTGATCAAGTCTATCTGAAGGACTAACCCAAACAAACAATCCCAACATGCTCATTGAGAAATTGGATTGAGGTCTTTAAGATCATAAATGGAAGCAAAATTAACATACCATACCATTAACATGCAAAGGCCTCAAAGCCCCCAAAAAAAGTTGTCAAAATAAAAATAAAAGCAGCATGTGTGAGCGACAAATGGAAACTTACTGTTGCGTCTAGGGAGAAGAAGATCACCATCCTCGTCCAAGCTAATCATTTGCTTTGTGGAAGCTGGTTCAACTTGGGAAGTCTCCTTGTATCTTCTGGGCTCAAGCTCTATAGGCAAGTCATTGTGTTAGAGGCTTAAATCTTTTTTTTTTTTTTAATTGAATAAAAACTATAAAATAAAAAAAATAAAAAAATTGAAACGGAGCAGAGGTTAGGGGAGATTGAATTCAGAACCAGGCGGGATGGAGAAGGTGAAGCGGGAAATGTGGGGCCCAGAGAAACCAGGTGGGCAGCCCAAGTGTACTTCACTCATCACCTGCTCTTCCTCCTGTGAATCTCCGCGGGTCATTTGCCCCATCGTCTCCAAAGACCCTTTCTCCATTGACACCAATCTTACTAAGAAACCAAACCCTAACCCTAATTGCAATGTTCCTATTGGAAACCGATCCCAATTCTGTGTGTCAAAACGCTGCGTTGTGCGTTTGCAAGCAGTATGCCAAGTAACTTAACTAGCCCATCTGGAAAATTCATAAGCAAACTTAGATATCAAGTTGATACCTTTTTAGGTGTAAAAATACTTGAATACCATCACTTACCACTTTTAGAATTTTTTTTAAGCCTCCTTTTTTTTTTTTTTTTTTGGGAGTCAATTGTGTTACATGAGTGTCAGTTCATGTTATTGTTGGGATCCAATATAACCAAGTTGACCATGTCACCAAAATCAAAACAAATAAAAATAACTGCAAACATAAAGAATTAGACCCAGATTTATATCTAAAATATGTTGGATTCTGAACCCTGAAGTTCAGCCATGAAACTTTTGGATTTTTACAATGAAATATGATTAGTAAACTAACGAATGAATATTGATAGAGATATCAAACTGGAACAAACAAATAATCTTTCCTATAATGGACATGCACCATGTAATTTTTTTTTTACAAAGAGACTTCTAATGCTGCTGTCTTCTATATTCCTCTAAGCGCTGCAATTCGAGCTGCCAGTTCATCATACTCCGGTAGTTTCGGGTGCACATGTGCATCTGGTTGTAAGGAATTGGTTCTTTCGTGCCCTTTCGGTGCCTCAATTGGAGATGTTGGCTCTGGTGGGAGAGATGATGCTCTGGCTGATGGAGCATGTCGCTGAGATCTTCTGCTTCTGTTCGCGGATTCACCAGCATCAATGTCTACTTGACTTAGATTGCCCTTCATCTGTCTCGATTCATGGGGTGACTGTTTCTTACTGTAATGCATCAAAAGGCCATCCAGTACCCTCTCTTCCTCATCCCTTGGATCATTCCTGTCAAGATTTTCACGACCGGGTGGCGGTTTCAAGTTTTTCCTCCTAACTGATCTTGGTTTTGGATCATCTTCGCCAACTGAAACATCATTATGGTGATCTGTTTCAACATGGCTGTTTAACTTTGTGGGATCCTCAAAGCTGCTTTCCTTTCTTTCAGGTTTTGGTTTGTAGTAAGGCGGTGGAGCAAATTTGGAGTAGAAGGGCATCTTGTTATCTGCTTCATCCCCTGATGTACTTCCTACTGAACTCGAACAATACTTCGGGGCGTCTTGGGATACATCTGTCGTTGTTTCATCTTCACTTCCTACTGATGCAGTATACTTTGTTCTGTGGCTCAAAACGTCCCCAGCATCCTGGTTTTTTCCCTTTGGAAAAGCATTATCCTTACTTTTATGTGATTTGTGCATATCATCATCACTGTCACCTGGAGACCCATATCTGCGCTGTCCCTGCGAAAAAGAGAAGAGACCATAAGAAGCATTAGAATATACATAATGCGGGCACAGAAAAACAGGATAGACGGAAATGTTTGGCATCTAAGAAAATTTGGAAGGTACAAAAGTCCACTCTTCAACATCTTTTTTTCAAAGGTTAAATCGCCAAAGGCAGGGGGGCTGAGATAATGATTTGAGGTGACGTATTCTGTGAATACATAAGCTTGATTCTTTCCAGTAGCAATAATTTTGTAACAATGATATATAGGTAGACTTACTTGGTCAAGTGGAGATGGAGTATACAGTTTCTGTTCCAAAGCCTTTGAATCCCATTCAATTGAGAACTCTTGTGCTATGTCATGCAATAACTGAATCTTCATCTCCTTTGTAGGAGGCTTTGCCTTCAACCTCTCCACAAGCTAAACACAAACGATTAAGTGAGTATGCATTTTCTGAGTATAATTTAACTATGAACTTGAAGAGCAAGTAACAAGTTGTGAATTATTACCTCTTTATTCACAAAAGGTTCAAGGGAATTTCCATATCTTTCAGTAAACATATTTCTGAGGTCACGCAGTTCGGGCAAATCAGCAAATCGTGCTGCAGCGTACATCAAAGATGGAACAGCTTCACTGCATTCCTCAGGACATTCGCTACAAAACAAAAAACAAATAAGAGAAGGTGGAAAAGTCTATCAAACTTATGATCAGAGACATGTATGGCATTGACAGTTAACTCTGCCAGTGAAAGCTAAGAATATTATTTCGGAAGCCACAAGTACCTCTGGTTTTGCATGAGAGAGAGATTATTTGAGATACATCCAATAAAGTTCTCAGTTAATACATAGCAGGCAGACATATTTTGCTCAACCAGAAGCCCCTCAGCCTGAGTCACAAAAATAATGAAGAGTTAGGCATTGACTAAGATATAATGATTTGGACGCTTTGTGAGTGAACAACTGCTACAAGTATTCATGCAATATGTAAATCATGGATCATCTGCTATGTTGCAATCTGAGTAATCTTCATTCCATCACAACGAGAGCAACCCATTATTTGCTAGCATAACACATTCAAGAAAGAAGATCAAAGGAAGAGTACAAAAGATAAAAGAAAAAAACAAGCACAAAAGACAAGGCACATAAATACACATAGGTGATTTTACCATTTCAATTGGCCAAAATTATTTGTTTCTCATATTCATCATGCAATACAGATCATGCCACCCCTCCCCACATAGAATGATTTATGAGTAAAAAGAGGGCATAAAATGCATGACCAACATGAGGGTACACGTCATCCATAGATGAAACGTGTGAGGGCAAGCCATGGTGGTGATGACAACAAAACAGGGCCCCACAACCAGTTGTTTTAGCTATTGTATCAAGATTTGAGACAAAGAGCCGTGACAGAATCTCTCTGAATGGATGATGTATCAGATGGAAGCAACAATAACATGCCGCCATCACCGAAATTATGCAAAAATTGCAAGCAAACAGAAAATCATCTATTTGTAAAGAAAAACAAAAAGGACAACAGAAAAAGTCTTGAGGCAGAGCATGAAAAAAAGCCTATTTTTCAGGCCACACAAGACCATAAAAAGCAACAAAAAGAAAAGAAGATAAACAGAAGGAGATTAACCAAAACCCAAGAACGAGATTAACCAGAAACATACCCTGCCATAGGCATTGATGTCAAGGCCACTCCTCAGAAGATCAGCAATATCATTCTTCAAAAACTTCTGTACTGCGCTCCTCTTTTTCTTTATCGTCTCAAGCCTCAACTTCGTGATCTTTATATCAGATTTGCTGCATCAAACAGACCCAAATTTAGAAACACAAGAAACAAAAAGCAATGAAATTTGTATTTAAAAAAAATTAAAAATTCGAGTTGCGTTTGTGCCAAACCATTTGGTGACAAATTTCGGCTTTCTGAATCCCCTCAACATCTTGATCTCTGAGGACTCTGGAGATGCACAAAACTGGTAAATAGAGAAATATGAAAACCCGTTTGAAACCAAGCTTTAATGCAATTCAATGGGTTTTCTAAGAATGCAACAAGAAGGTAAAGAATGACTGAGATATTGAAAACTTGGGGCTCATCTCATCAAGTCACGCCAAGAATCAAATACAAGAAAACCCAGAAGGAAAGCAAATGGGTATGTTTGGGATTGAAAGAAAGACAAGCACTTGAAGCAAGAAACAGAGAAACAATGGGGTTTTCAGCAATTTGGGTTCAAAATGTTGGGCAATTGGGTAGCAACAAAGCCTCTAATTTGGAAGCAACATGAGGAACAGAGCTCAATAACCAAGAAACAGAGCTGCTATACACACACATATATAATATTTATATATATGTGTATGTATATATCTTTCCTATGAAGAACCTCAACAGAGAAAGAGACGAGGGGTCAATGAACAACCTATATATATTGCCAGATTGAAGCTCTTAGAAAAAAATAAAGAGCGTGGGTTTTTGCCGCGTGGCCTCTCTCTCTCTCTCTCTGTCTCTGAGAGCCTCCCGCTAAAAATATAATTATCGCGCTCTTTTTACAAAAGTCGCTACTAAAGAGCGAAAATTACCTGGTTTGCCTGTTGAGGATAACGAACATGGAAAGGGTATTTTTGGAATATAAGTTTAAATTCTTTTTCTTTTTGTTCGGGCCTATTGTTTAGGGTTTTAAAGCGGGCAGTAAATGTAAATCCAATCGCAGGCAACCAAAGCGTCGAGAATTTAGCGTTTTATTACTGGATGGATTTGGTCCCAAATTTTTTTATTAAATAGATTTGCTTCGATTTTTTTTTTTTTACTATTAATTAGTAGCCTCTCCGCAAGCGCTTTCGTGTCTGCGAGAGGCTTTTTTTTAAAAAAAATTAAATTTATTTTAGAATTAAAAATAATAATGGGTATTTGTGTTCCAAAAAAATATGATCCATTATCTTAATTTTCTTTTAATTTTAATTTTTTTAAATATAAAAAAGTGTGAATTTACCATATTATCCTCATTTGATTAATAATTTCAATTATTAATGTTTGCATTAACCAATGGCATTTTTTGGTATTTTGAATGTTTCACCATTCTCTGCCTTTTGCTTTATATATATAAATAGATTCTTAATTAGGTTAACAAATAATTATTGTTAATTTAATTACACAAAAATTAAAATTAGTTTTAGGGTAAAGACCAGATTTGGGGAAAGGGGCAGGCAATCAACTTGATTAGGTTAAATATGTTCCTGAATTTATGAGATAAGAAGACAAAAATGGGTAGCAGCCCGTAATTAGCTGTCCCTAGCTTAACGGGCCTGCAAGGAATTCTTCAAGTATATCTGGCACATATTAAAAGGTATGCAGCAGCCAAATAACAAGGTTTAACACCTAATCAAGGCACCATGTATAGACAGATACTCTTAAACCTCAATACTCAAGTTGGCGATTTTTCTAGGTTTTTGGTGAAAGGGGTAAGTTCACTCACTTACCCTCCAGTTGGAGAGGAACTTCCTTGCCCCGGTGTCACTGCCCTTTCCTTCTAGACTTTTGTTGCCCCAGTATAGCGGCTCTCTCCTTCTATCTTA